AGCTGCTGCCAGAGCTCAGAGACTTCAGCTGCTGACAGAGCTCAGAGGCTTCAGTTACTGTAGGACCACAGAAGCTTTAGTTGCTTAAGAGAAACTTAACAGTCATGTAAACATGATTATTAAATCCTGTTTTTTTCCAGCTGAGGCATCAGTCTAAGCTGAAGTCCATATTGTCCAAAAATAACCTGGAGACAGTAATACATGCATTCATAACATCCAGGCTCGATTACTGCAACTCACTCCCATTTGGTATCAGTCAGACCTCCATTGCACGACTACAACTGGTTCAGAATGCTGCAGCCCGATTTTTAACCAGTACAGGCAAAAGAGAGCACATTACACCAGTTTTGGCCTCACTGCACTGGCTACCGGTTCACCTTCGAATCCAGTTTAAAATCCTTCTATAGGTTTTTAAATCACTAAGCAGTTCAGCCCCCTCCTATCTCGCTGATCTGTTGCAGCCGTATGTCCCACCGCGTTCTCTGAGGTCAGCGGACCAGTTGCTTCTCTCAGTTCCAGTAACCCATCTTAAGCACAGAGGTGACAGGGCCTTTTCTGTCGCAGGCCCTAGACTATGGGATGAGTTACCTCTACCTGTCAGACAGGTCCCTTCCCTCAAAGTTTTTAAATCCCATTTAAAAACCTACTTTTATTCCCTGGCTTTCAACAATGTATGATCTGTTGCTGAACCTGAATGCATCACACTGTGTTAATCATTATGTTATCCGCTATTATTTTGTTTCTATATTTTGATTTTACGTTATGTTATGTGTTGCTGCGCTTTGCCTGTTTGTTTCTGTTTGTACAGCACTTTGGTTGGCCCTGTCGCTGTTTAAAGTGCTCTATAAATAAAATCGTATGGTAAAAGTAGAATAAAAGCTAAAATTAGCAAAACTGTAGCTAAAACCTATAGCCAGCTAAAAGCTGATTGAACAGCCTTTATATTAGCTAAAAGCTAACTGTAGCAAAACTATGGCTAAAATTTAAAGTATTAAAACCTTAGCAGAAAGCTAAAATTAGCACAAATGTAGTGAAAATGAAAAATAGCTAAAATTACCAAAAACAGCTAAAAGCAAAAGCAAAAAACTTAACTAAAGTTAAATGTAGCAAAATCATAGCTTAAAACTAAATTCAGCTAAACAATAACTAAAAACTTAAACTAATAGCTAATTTATCTATTATCTTAGCTATATGTGTCTTTATTAAAAAAACTAATGTAACAAAGTCACAGCTAAAAAATAAATTTGCAAAACCTTGGCTAAATTTTCCAAAACTGTAGTTAAAACAGGCATTGTTAGCTAAAATGAGCAAAACAATGCTTAAAGAAATAAAATGTAGCTAAAAAGGAAAAATACTAAAGACCATATGAAAAAGCTTTACGTAGCAAAATCTAAAAGTTAAAACTATCAAAACAAAAAGATAAAATAAAAACGTGCTAAAAGCTAAAATTAGCTACATCTTAACTAAAGGATTAAAATAGCAAAACAATAAGGAAAAATAAAGCAGTAGCTTAAAATAACAAACCAATGCCAAAAACTAAATGAAGCAAAGTTATAGACAAATGCTGAAAACCAATATCTAAAAGCTTAAACAAAACATTAGCTAAAAGCTAAAGTTTGAAATCAGTAGCTACAAGCTAAAAGGAGCAGAAGTAGACAAAAAATAGAGCAAGTTTGTTGAAATAATTTCAGAGAAAATGACAGCACGACTCTTGATGGAGCTGAATGTTTGATCCATGATCTAATCCTGTCTTCACACAATAATCCAGAGCAGCTGACTCATGAAGAAAACCTTTAACATTTTTTGTTTGTTTCTTCATACCTCACAAGCATGAAAGGGAGATCATGTACTAACCTGTGATGCTTTGTGTTAGCAAAATATCTTCTGAACCACTGGCTGATTTTATCAAACCTTTCTGAAAGTAATTAGTAGATAAGCATTTACAACTGAGTCAGCATAGCAGCCAAAGGACCCCAGCAAACACAAAAACAGCTACAGCTCATCCAGTTTTACAGACGAGCTAAAACCTGGAGCGGCTGTAGCTGAGAGTCATCCCCAGAACACACTTTGAGCACTAACAGACTGCTTGAAGTCAAATATCGCCTTTAAAACCATTTATCTAGTCCGGAAACGGCAGAGCTTAAAGAGCTATTTTCGGCAGGTGTGACCCACATCGACCCATGTTTGGTATTAAGTTAAGGACAGAGCAGAGCCAGAGGTACTGAGATTAACAGATTTATACCCTGATAAACTCAGATTAGACAGACACACGGGGTTCCTCTGTTCTTGAACAGCATCTTGCATTTCCATCAGAACACACTCATCATCACCTAAATCACAATAACCTGATCATCTGTCTTTTTGTTGGGGTAATGCAGTAAAGTATAAACAGTGTATGATGGGATTAAATCTAGAAGCAGGGTTTTTGTTTAATGAGAACTAATCCACAACTCATCTCAGTCTGCTGATCGTTTTCTTAAGTGAACCGCTAAAATAAGCCAAAGCAAAAGGAAAAAAAAACAAAAAAAAACAGGACCACCAGATTTAGAAAAATGTTTATTATTTCATCTGAAATTAAATAAATAAAAATTATTTAAGGCATCAGATTTAATCTGTAAACTTTGAAAGCAGCAAATTGTCTAACAAATTATGTAATCCTTCAAATATTGTTTAATTTCTACTGACATGGTTTCTGGAGGCAATTCACAGCTTCAGGTTTTTCTTTCAGTCTATCTCACAAGTCTGTAGTGCTCAAACTACAGGCCAGTAGGGTTCAAACTACAGGTCGGTAGTGCTCAAACTAGAGGCCAGTGGTGCTCGAACTACAGGTCAGTAGTGCTCAAAACTGCAGGTCAGTAGTGCTCAAACTACAGACCAGTAGCGCTTAAACTACAGGTCAGTAGCGCTCAAACTATAGGTCAATAGTGCTTAAACTACAGGTCAATAGTGTTCAAACTACAGGTCAATAGTGTTCAAACTACAGGTCAGTAGTGCTCAAACTACAGGTCAGTAGTGCTCAAACTATAGGTCAGTAGTGCTCAAACTACATGTCAGTAGTGCTCAAACTACAGGTCAGTAGTGCTCAAACTA